CCGATGGGTCCCAGCCCCTGGGTGGGGAGCCCTGCAGGACGGCCCTGCCAGTGGAAGCTGTGAGCAAAGCTGCAAGTGCATGTGGTTTACCTTGCGCCAGCATGTCCTGAGCCCACCCGCACCCTTTTCCAGGGCTTGGCCTGCTGCTGGGCTCGGGTGAAACTCCCAGTGGAGTTCTGGACTCTCACAGTGCGTGGGGGTCACAGCTGCGCCCCCTCATCCAGCCAGCAGAGGGAAGTGCTGCCCACCCATCACTGCAGCTGCTTCTCTGTCCCCACCACCCCAATGCCTGCCCCGTGGGCTCTCCTGCCGCCGGCCAGGCAAGGCATGGCACAGGCCTGATTCTGATCTCTCTCCACTTCAGTGGGGTGACTCTACCAGCGGGAGAGCGGGATCCCAGCCCATCAATGCAGCGTTTCAGAGACTGGCTGGAAGGAGGAAGCACGGAGGCCTCAGAGGTTGGGACAAAGCCAAAAGCTAAGCACGGTTGCGTCCAAACTCAGAAATGGCCCTGTGGCTGCGCTGCCAGCTCAGGGAGGAGGGGGATCCCCCAGACGGGCTCGGGGATCCCTGGAGAGCCTCCAGCTCTGTGTTCTCTTCTCCCATTGCTCAGCGATGGGCCTGGGATATTTCTGCAACAGCAGCTCTTGCAACGCCATGCCCATGCCCCCGGAATCTGGGAACTCTGGGTCTAAAGCACAGCTGCTACTGAGCTAAAAGGCCATTTCCCCATGGCTGTCGCGGGCTCATCAACTACTATTTGTGGCCCGGCCGCCACTAGAGGGAGCTCTGGAACCACACTGGCTGAGTTACCCGCCGCAAGGGACCAGCCGAGATCTTAACACCCTGAAACTGGACTTGGACCCACGTTTTCCAAATGGACCAAAATCCCAGACCCTGCCCCAAGCCTTTACAGGTGTCCCCAACCCAGATTCCACTTGTGCTGCTTGGGTCTGTCTCTCCTGTCAAGGAGATTTAGGATCAAAAGGGAGGCTCAGAGGGGAAAATTCTTCCCTCTACTGGATGGAATCAGAACTGCTTGTCTGTGTGACATAGGCCCTATATTGCTAGGAGTCAGTGAGGATCCTCCTCTAGCTCAGGAGGCTGGGCCTTAGGCACTGGAAGACCCAGGTTCTATCCCCCATGAAGTGGGCACTCCTCGGTAGCTGTGGGTTTGTTGCAATCAATGTTTTGTAGCTTGGCCATGATCCTTCCAGCCTGAGCTGCCTTTATTCAGATGGTCAGTCTCCTCCCTTCGTTGGTGCTCCTTCCCGTGCCACGTGGTGCCAGCAGGGTGCAAAGGATGAGAGAGGGGAGCTCCTACCTGTGGTACCATGTTTTTGAAGGAATCCATAATCTTGGAGCTCTTGGCTTCCTGGTAGTAGGAGAAGCAGCCGGTGACTATGACCACAGCAGCTAACACCACGCCCAGGTACAGCTGGGGAGAGGAGGAGACTGTTCAGACATAGGGGATTCCTTCACCCACTGCCGCAATGCAGCCACCCCTGGGGTGGGACATGGCAGCTGCTTAACAGACGCATAGTGATGCTGCCCAGCAGTTTAGGACAGGAAGTGACAAATATCTGACCCTGTGAGAAGAAGTAGGTAATTACTGGAGATGGAGTTGGGCCGGGGCCCAGGGGCTAACACCCCGACTGGGATGAAAAGTTGGTTCCTTATTGATCACAAGTAGTTGGGACTTGGGCTGGTGTCTCACCCCGGCTCCACAGGGAGCGTGCCCCTTACTGGACAGAGCGCCCCCTAGCACCGCACTGGAGCGGTGGGGCCAGCACTGACAGTGAAGGGAGAGCACCCCCTCCTGAGCCCCCTCCTCGCTCCCTGCAGCACTTGCAGGTCTCCCGGGCGAGACCAGCCTCAGGGTGGGACAGCTGCCCCGCTCCGGTTACTACAGATCTTATTTAGGAAGCAGGGCTGAGTTATTTGGAACCTGCCTTCAGTGCAGGGAGACAGTGAACCGTTCCTCACCCATCCCCCAATGCTGGGAGTGTCCAGGTGGGACCAGTTCAGCCCCGGCTCTGCCTGCCTCGGCCAGGAGATGCTGCTCACTTGGTCTGGATTGAGTTTGGTGAATCAAAGCCCAGAGCTGACCGAACTGATGAGACCCCTGGAGCCTGCGCCCAGGCCGGATTCTCACAAATCTCTGGGAGGCTGGGATGAGACTCTACGGCCCTGCCATGCAAAACCAGGTCACACCCCTTGGATAAGACCAAGCTCCCCTCAAGTTCAGGCCAGAGAGTCCCCCCTGAATTTCCCCCCCCCCCCAATTTCTCTCCCTCGCGGCTTTAGGGGAAGGACGGAAGCAGGAGAGTTTCAATGAGGTTCCATTTAGAGGTTTGTTCAACACCCAGAAACTCCAGGTGTGGAGTGGAGAATCCAGCTGAACCCAGCCCTGGGACGCAGGCCAGAATGACTTGGTTCCCCCCGCCCCGTGTCTGATCTGCTCCGGGTCATGTAGCTCACGTTGTCGTTGGCCGGCTCGTCCTCCATCACGGCCTGGATGCTGTAGGCCAGGAAGCAGAGGATGGCGCCAATCCACAGCAGGATGGAGAAGCCCCCGAAGAGCTGGCGGCAGAACTTGACCCACTCGGGGGTGGTCGGGGGGGGCGTGAGGGCGTTGGGGCCATCCTGTGCCAGGATCTCGGCTGCGCGGGTGTTGGTCAGACCCTGCCCAGGCAGAGGGGGGTCGGAGGGATGGCAGGGGAGCGAAGGAGCGACACAGAACCCAGAGAACGACAAAACGGGAGGGCAGGAGGAAGGGACAGAGAGAAAGAGCCAGTTACGTGCTACCAGGGTTCGAAGCACCTAAAGGCCGGAGGAGCCCCCGTATCTCTGGCATTTCACACTGTTGGCCCCTCCCGCACCAGACCCAGTGCACTCAGCGGCTGGCGAAGGGAACGGAGCCGCTGCCCACGGCTCCCCCCCCACACACAATTACAGAGCCCTGGAGGTCCAGTTCTCCTGAATCCCCCACTGCCCGGTGCAACCAGGCTTGGGGGGGAGGTCCCCTAGGGAAGCCCCTCCCTCACCCTGCCAAACCACCCACACTGCAGGGGAAGGGGCTTCATCTTCCCCAGGGGGCCGTTGGGGCTTCTGGGTGGGGAATCCCTCCCCCACTGGGGCTTCTGGGGGGACCCTTCCCTGTATTTTGAGCACCAGGTGAATGGAATGGCCCGGACGCTGCACAGAACCTGCACCCAGGAGCCTGGGAATCAGGGAGGGGTGAGGGCAAATTCTCCCAAGATCTGGCAGGGGGTTGAGGTCAGATGGTGGTGCGGGGGGGGGGGAAAGCAGGAGGGTACCTGCAATAGCTGATGCTGCAGCAATTGTCATCGGGCAGTGGTGTGGAGCAGGATGGCAGCCCAGCCTGGGAAGTGGAAAGCAGGGAGCGAGGGGCGATGGGGTGGGGAGATGAGAGGGGAGGGGAGGATGAGAGGGGAGGGGGAATGGTAGGGAGGGGGCAAGAGGGGAGTGGCGGGTGATGGGGAGGGAGGGTGGGGGGGAGATAAGTGGTGGGGCGAGGGCACTGTGGAGGAGGGGCACCAACCCACAGACACTGACATGTCCTGACTTACCCTGGACAGATCCACCTGGTATTTCCTGCCCAATTCATCCAGGGACAGCCTGTGATCATCCTGCCAGGGGAGAGGTGGGGGAAGGTCACAGACTAGCAAGAGACCGGAATGTCCTGGGAACAGAACCAGATCCAAAGGGGCCCATCCGGCAGAGCGCTGGCCCATCAGGGCCTGCTGCCCATGACCTCCTGGGGTGGTTTTTCAACCAGTTATGCACCAACCTTATAGTAGCTCCATCTAGCTTGTATTTTCCCTAGTTTGTTTATGAGGAGGTCATGCAAGACAGTATCAAAAGCCTTACTAAAGTCAAGATATCAGAGGAGTAGCCGTGTTAGTCCAGATCTGTAAAAGCAGCAAAGAGTCCTGTGGCACCTTATAGACTGACAGACGTATTGGAGCATGAGCTTTCGTGGGTGAATACCCACTTCATCCGACAAAGTCCGATAAAGTCTATAAGGTGCCACACGACTCTTTGCTGCTTTTAAAGTCAAGATATACCACATCTACTGCTTAACCAAGAAAATCCCCCACTTCGTCACACCCCCATAACCACAAGGCATGTTACCCTGTCAAAGAAAGCTGTTAGGTTGGTTTGATACAATTTGTTTTTGACAAATCCATGCTGACTGTTACTTATCACCTTATTGTCTTCTAGGTGTTTGCAAACTGATTGCTTAATTATTTGCTCCATTATCTTTCCGGGTACTGAAGTTAAACTGACTGGTCCGTGATTCCCCGAGTTGTCCTTATTCCCCTCTTTATAGATTGGCACTATATTTGCCCTTTTCCAGTCCTCTAGAATCTCTCCGTCTTCCATGACTTTTCACAGATAATTGCTAATGGCTCAGATATCTCCTCAATCAGCTCCTTGAGTATTCTAGGATGCATTTCATCAGGCCCTGGTGACTTGAAGACATCTAACTTGTCTAAGTAATTTTTAACTTGTTCTTTCCCTATTTTAGCCTCTGATGCTACCTCATTTTCACTGGCATTCACCATGTTAGATGTCCAATCACTACTAGCCTTTTTGGTGAAAACTAAAACAAAAAAGTCATTAAACACTTCTGCCATTTCTACATTTCCAGTTATTGTTTCCCCCCCCTCATTGAGTATCAGGCCTACCCTGTCCTTGGTCTTCCTCTTGCTTCTTATTTATTGTGTAGAATCTATCCACCCATCCACCTGTACCACCCATCTATCCAGCAGCCAGCCACCTGCACATCCATCCATGCATCCTTCCACCTGCAGTTTCTGTCTCCTATCCCCTTGGTGTCTGACACTAGTGCTGATCACAGGGGTGACCAGCGAGATCTAGCAAGGATGGGGGGAAGCAACCTCACAGTCCCATAAGCATGGGGGGGTGACCTGCCTTGGGGGGGGGGGACAGGTCAAGGTCCCTCCCGCACCAGGCATTGGCAGTCTGGCCCCCCCAGCAGTGCCCATGGGGTGAAGCGGATCCTTACCAGGTTCACCTCCTTCTTCAGCTCGTCCAACTCTTTCTCCTTCTGCTTCTTCTTGCCACCGCCATTCTCGGAGGTGGTTGCCGCCGGCGAATACTCCCGCCCAACCTGCCGTGGGGGGAAGGGGGAAGAAAGAGGGGTAGTGTTACCTCAGTGAGCAGGGGACTCCAGAAGCCACACAAACCCACAGGGAGGAGAGAGACGCAGGTAGGAGGAGCACCCCAACCCACGGCAGCCATGCAGCACGAAGGTCACGACCAGGCAGGGAGCCCAGGACTGGCTGGCCCCGTGGCCACCCCCTGGAAGATCCAGAACTGGGTCAGAGTGTCCCCCTGGCAGAAGGTGCTGGGTGGCAAGTGGGAATGAACTCGGTGCAGACAGAGTCCGTCCCATCCCCCCCCTCCCCCCCGTGCCAGGTCCTCAGCCAGGACTTCAGAGCAACCAATGCAGAAGAGAACCAAGCTCTGGCCACCTGGCAGCTCAGGACAGCCCAAGTGTCCTGCCCCTGGATGCTCTGGGCCTCAGACAAAACCTAGGCAGGTCTCCAGGGAACGGCTTCTCCTGCAGCAGAGCCGAGAGATTCCTGGTTTCTCTCCCCCAACACTTGCTGTGGCAGGTCAGGCCTGGGGGAGACGAGACGCATAAGTGGAAGAGGGGAAGTCGTGTTCCCCCTACCCCCCCTGCCCTGCCTGGATGCAAGAGATCAGAAAAGCGGGACCACAGCCAGGAACAGGAGAATGGATTTTTCCTCAGGCTGCCCCGTCTGTGGGTCTCTCTGCACCAATTGCCTCTCATCTTACACTTAGATTGGAAGCTGTTTGGGGCAGGGACTGTCTCTTTGTTCTGTGTTCGTACAGTGCCTAGTGCCATGGGGTCCCAGTGCATGGGTGGGGTGCTGAGGTGCTACCGTAATACACCTAATAAATAACGTACAGTGCCTAGCACCATGGGGTCCTGGTCTGTGGCTGGGACTCCAACACACTACCGTAATACACCTAATAAATAATGTACAGCGCCTAGCACCATGGGGTCCTGGTCGTGGCCAGGGGCAGGGAGACATGCTCTGGAAATGCTCTTCTGAGCTCTGCCACTGACTTTCGAGTCACTTTCATGCTCTGTGCCTCAGTTTCCCCCTCTGCAAAGTGGGGATGATCCTGACTCCCCTCCCAGGGGTGTCAGGCTCAGCTCGTGCATGAGTGCGAAGTGCTTTGAGATCCTCCGAGGGATGGGCAAAAGCTCATGGCCCTGTGGATGATGGCATTCCCAGTGCCCCTGTCCCCACGGTCTGCAGGTGGCGGACTGCTTCTGCTCCACGCTGGAGCCCCAGGGCCAGAATGCCAGGAGAGAGACTATTCCTATCCCAGCATTCCCACGCAGAGCGCTCACAGGCAGTGGTGGGAATCACATCAGGATTACTGCTCTCGGGAGCTTCCTGCCCCGGTTTGTGAGCCCAGCGGCCTGGAGAGCTCAGGGAGACAGCTGGTGTTTGGGAACCAAACTCAAGTCCCAAATCTTCCAAGTTCCCTCTGCGCTAAGCAAACAACATGGGGGGGGGGGGGCTGGGACCTCTAGTTGTCCTGCCAGTGCTGCCCTGGCATAGACAGCACTGTGCCCTGCATGCTATGCCAGTGACTTCACCCACCCCAGGGACACTCTGCCAAAGCAGAGACTGAATTTCCCTAGTTCCTGCTGCTTTGGGCTGGTGGCTGCTCCGGAGGGGGCTCTGGGATTTGTTACTGTGGGCCCCCAGGAGGAGGGGTAGGGGTTGCTTGAGAAGAGACTGGCACGTCCTGGGATGATTCCCCTGGCCCTCCCCGCGCCGGTGGGGCATCCGGGAGCCCAGCGGGGCAGGGGCCCCCACGGGTGATGTGGGGGTCGAAGATGGGGACTCGAGCGCGCAGCTTGTGGGAGCGGGGCCAGGCAGCCGGGAAAGCAGCGTTTATTCAAAGGCAGAAAATAAAGAGGACCTCAGCTCTCTGCTGTCATGGAAAAGTCCCCCCAGTGCCAAGAACAACCGCTGTGAGCAAAGGGTCACGTTACGACGGGGGGGGGGAGTAGCGATGGGGGGAAGGGAGGGAGGCATTGAAACTGTTAGGAACCCTGAAAGCAGCCACAATTTGGGGAGAGTCCCCGGGACGCGGCCAGCCTGCCAACTGCAACTTCCCATGTATCGTTATGGTGCATTTCCAGAGCATGTCTCCCTGCCCCTGGCCACGACTGCGGTGGGCATTCTGCACGGCCCCCGCTATGATTTGGGGGTGCCTTCTTCACAGGCCCCGCTGGTTTCTGCCCCCGGCTCTGGGCCTCTCCCGTTCCCCTGTATCGATTGAAGCGGAACCCTTTGCCCCGGGGCTGGGGGTGCTGGCTCCAGTTCCAGCATGCCGGGCTCCCTCTCCTCCGGCTCCACTCCGGGGAACAGCCTGTAACAGTGAGAGCGAGGGGGACAGGTGCAGGCCCAGGGGGATCTACTGCAGTGCAACGAGAGCCAACCATTTCAAAGGCAGCCCCAGCCCAGCCCCTCCTGCCCCCAAGCTAGGGTACGCACAGGCATCTCCCACCGTGAACCTGAGTCTGGGTCAGCAGGCTCCTTAAGAAGACGGGGTAGGAGGCTGGAGTGCACCCTCTTAAAGGAGTCTGGGATTTGCCACTCCAGATCACACCCCCTGGCCCATCTAACCCAGCAGACCCCTGTTCTGGATCAGACCCCCTGGTCCCTCTATCCAGTAACCCACCTTCTTCCACATCTGAACAGGCCATTGGTTCATACGTGCAGTACCCTGACCTCTGCAGCTCCCGAGATACGACTTTCCTCCCCGACACCCTCCTCCCCTGCACCCAGCCACGTAGGCAATGGGGGATCCTTCCTGACCCCTGCAGCTCCCCGCCCTGCAGCATGAGAGTCGATCACCCCGACCTTGGCCCCCTTTGCATTTTACAAACATATCTCCAGCCTTTTTTGGCTCTGCCCATGCCGGGGGACCCCGGTAGCCCAGTTACAGGACTGTTTGGTGCCGCCGGTCCAGGCAGCATCGCACGGTCTTGGGACACAGCCGGTCCCCAGGGCGACTCGGTCAGTTTCGCAGCTCAGACGGGGCCGTGTTTGACTGGATCCTATTTGACTTGGAGAGGCAGATCCAATTAGGGAACGATTCCCTGGGCTTTAGGATCAGGGCAGCAAGGATGCCCGAAGGCCCTGGCCTGCAAGGGAAGTCATGTCTGTCTCCAGAGACTGGAGGAGAGTCTGAGCCAAAAGCCCCCTGTAGGAAGAAAGAGAGCGAGGAAGAAAGTGTCTTTCAGGCCATGAATGGGGAAGGGAGAATAGAGCCTCCTTTCTGCTCCATATAAAGGGCTGAATAGTCCTGGCACGTCCCAGGATTCATGAGTCCAGCGTCCTGCCTGTGGTTTCCATGGCGCTTTGGGATCCTTTGCCGTGCGGCGAGGAGCTTGCTAAGGAGCTCTCTGTTCTGTTTGACAACCCCTTGCTCCCAGCAAAGACCCCAAAGCACCTTCCAGGATCTGCTGCTCCAGCTGCCGAAACGCAGCCCCTTCTGGGGTGGGATGCAGCAGCCAAGCGGAACAGAACCCCATGCCCAGCTGTGTGTGGGCAAGGCCCCAGGGTTAACACGCTGCCTCTTGCCATAAGTACTTGGATCTTTAATGACAACGGTTAGGCAAACATTGCTTAAAGCCGGCACTTACAGCCAGCTACCCCTGCCATCGCCAGCACTACCCCCTAAGCAGCCAGCACGGACCTTGCCCTGCTTTGGGGCTCTGGACTGGGGGCAGCAAAGTCCCGCCAAAGGTGGGCTAGTACCGGTGGGACCCCCTGTCTTTCAGTCATAGAGGCTGGATTACCATGACATGGTATATCTGGTATATCTCTGGGAATATCCGCCCCGCCCTCTCCCCAGCTCTCTACCCCCACCCTCACAACCTCCAAGTGGACCATCGAGCAGCAGGAGGAGACCTGGCAGAACGAGCCCCTGCCTGTAGTCAGTGGCACAGGTGAGTTCGATGCTCTGGGCCCTATCCTGAGCTCTTTGTGTCCCCCACACCCCCCCAGTCTCTCTCTGGATGCACTAGCTACAGGATCAGGGCCATTACAGGAGCCATGCTCCTGGGGCTGCAATTCTGATCCCTAACACTAGAGGGAGACCCAGAGCTCCAGGCTGGGATTTACATGGGGCCAATGGCCTGGAAGCATATTACAGGTCCTAGACCGCCACACACTGCCCCAGCTGTGCCTGGCCTCTTCCAGGTGACTGGGTGGGGCAGAGACCTATACAGGGAGTCGCTGGGGGCCAGATGAGGAGTGGTAAAGCCCCAGCTTGGGGAGGTTACATACACCTGCACCATGCCCATGGTACAAAGCAGGACTGTACCAGGACTCCTGGGTTCTGTTCCCACTTCTGTGACAAACTTGTAGTGAGAACTTAAGCAAGTCCCTGCATGACTCTGTGGCTTGGTTTCCCCAGCCATCTAAATTTTCCATGGAAAAATTACTTTTTTGCACCAGAAATTCAAATAACGAAAAATGAGCTCAGAAAAGCGGAATTAGTGGCCAAAATATTTCGGTTTTCAGGTGTTCCATTTTTCCAACAAAGAACGGCCCAGAAAATGCAGGGAAAGCCGACCCTTTGCACAAAAAGTTTTATTGAGTCGAAAACCTGATTTCCCGCTGAAAATAAATTTCCACAGAAAATTTTCAGCCATCCCTAATCATTAGAGCAAGAGCTCGTCACATGGCAAACCTCTTCAAAAGGATCCGGATAATAAAAGAACGATAAATGCTATTGCAGGCCCTGATCCTGTGCGGAGCTCCATGCGGGCAGTTCTATGCGCCCACACGCAGATCGGGTTCTATCCTCGAGGCAGCACTTATTGTAGGGTTGTGACCACTCTTAGCCCTGTATGTTTCCTAGGCATGTCTCCATGCTATCCCCCATTCTGAGTGCTTCCTGTGGGCACAGGAAATTGTTTTCCCCACTGAAGCTGTTTAAAGAGAAGAGTTATTTTTCAGGCAATGTGGTTTTCATTCTCCCTTCTGTATAAGATTATTGCTTGGCTGTAAAAATACTATTAAAAGAATCCTTCTGCGAACAGCTCTTTGCCCCTCCATGGTGCCTCCCACTTGGGAACTTCAAAGGTGAATGAAAATTCTAACAAACCTGTGATCATCTGGGAACATCCCAGCTATGGGGCTTCAGAAGTACAGCAGGGACGGAACCCACACCTTCCAAGGCACAGCCCCCCCCTGCCATCTGAGCCTGAGGAGAATCTCTACAAGCACTATAGGGTCTAGGATACACAACTGATCAATCCTGGATCCACCCATCAGAGGGAGACATACGCATTAGCCAGTTGGTGACACTGAAGTGGCTTGCTCAAGGTCACACCACAAGTCAGTGACAGGATTGGGAACAGAACCCAGGGGTCCTGACAGTGCCGCTATACCCACTAGACTCCACTCTCTCCTAGAGCTGGAGTCAGAACCAAGGAGTCCTGACAACCAAATCCCTGCTCTCATCACTAGACCCCATTCACCTCCCAGTACTGGAACTAGAAACGGGGAGTCCTGAGTGGCAGTTCCCTAGTCTACTCACTGCCTTCCTAAACTGTCACTTCATCATCCTTCTTCTAAACACTGTTTGCTGTATAGCCCGTTCCCCATGTTCTCTTTCAGTTTCCCGTGAGTCGTGTGTTAGGAGCAGTGTATAAATCTAGTTAATGAATTCATGCTCCAGCCCTAGCTCCACAAAGGTTCCTAGGCTCTGGCATTTCCTACAGATCTGGCCATTCTACAGACATACATAAATCAACCCACTCTGCATTTCAGCTTCTGGGGAACTAATTAGCAAAGCAGAGCGAGGCGTTCCACGTTGCAGGTCGGAGGAATTCTGTTCTGCGTTTCAAGGGATTTGGGGCACATGCCCCCCTCTCCCCAAACTACCCCACAATGCTGCAAAGCCCACCCCCGATAATGCAAGGGGGGGTTGACGGCTGGGCAGGATTGCTCTTTCCGAAATGTCCCTCGTGTCTCGACAGCGTTCAGGAGGCCAAAGAGGTTTAAGGGACAGTGGAGTGGAGCCAGCTTGCACCAGAATTTTTTAATGCCAGCTGCAAAAAGTTCCCGAAGAGCTGAAAACACCAGGGGGGAACCCCACTTGATTCAAACAAACTTCCTGGCTAAGCCAGCTCTCTGATCCTGGCGGTGGCATGAGGACAGCTGAGCTGATCTTGCTTTTGGAAGGCAGCCTACGGCTCCAAATAATCCCCCGGGGCCAATGCCCCAGCCAACTCCTTCACCCCCACCTGGAGTCTGACCCAGCCCTGGTGAGGGGGCTGTTTACCCAGTGGTCACACTGTTTGGTAAGCGGTCCCCTCCGTCGCATTGTTCGCCTGGTTGCAAAAATGTTTCCCTGCAGTGAAGGGGAGGGGGTGGATTGGAAACGGCAATTATGGAATGAGAGACCAGGCCCGGCGCAGCGGGGGGCCCTGCCCAGTGCTTAAGTTGTAATGAAAGAGATGCCAGGGCTCAAGCCATTTTTTTTTTACTTTCATAACTGATACAGCAAGCCCAGAGGTGCCGGGGCTCTGAACTGCCAGGCCCAGAGGTGCCGGGGCTCTGAACTGCCAAGCCCAGAGGTGCCGGGACTCTGAACTGCCAGGTCCAGAGGTACTAGGTTCTGAACTGCCAGGCCCAGAGGTGCCGGGGCTCTGAACTGCCAAGCCCACAGGTGCCGGGTTCTGAACTGCCAGGCCAAGAGGTGCTGGGGCTATAAACTGCCAAGCCCAAAGGTGCTGTGGCTATAAACTGCCAAGCCCAGAGGTGCCGGGGTTATGA